TGCCTTGGCCCATCAGTGAGAAACACCTTTAGGGTGGACCAGAAGCTTTCCCCTTCAAAGGAACGGGCTTCTCAAAGTTGGGTGGTTGTTTTTTTTTTTTCCTTCTTAAAACTCTTCTTTGCCGTTTCTGAGATTTGTGCCCTAGATTTCTTCTCAATATTCTTCTGAGCTTTATTAAGACAACGGCACGTTTGATCAGTTTGTAGATACCGTAGCAGGTTTAAATGAGATGAGTTTATCATAGCGCTTGTCAGAGGGCCTCAGGGAGTCCCAGTAAAGAGCCCTTACATTCTAATTAGAAGTGTTGCTGGGGGCTTTTAAAAATTAGGTGCTTGTTTTTTTTGGGGGGGGAGGGGAATGTCTAAAAATAGTGCCTGGGTATCGGGATAATGTTGTCAGATCTACGCACAGACGAGATGTTATCTCAGCCCGCTGACAGCTGGGGAGGCCAGGCTGGAGTAAAGAAGATGGAGACAGCAGTAGCAGTGTCCTGTAATAAGAGTGATTTGCTGGCAGGCGGTGGGGAAAGGGTGCGGACAGCCAGCACATTGTGTGATGCTTAGTAATTGGTTTGAGAGTAGAGCCCAAGCTGGGAGCAACTGAGTGGCATTTATTGTGCTGTTGAGCACCGGCTGCGTCATTAGCGCTGCTCTGCCACAGAACGTGCCTCTCTCTTCTCACTCCCTCTCCTGCCTCCTATCGAGGACCCTCTTCCGATGGGTGCAACACTTTAACATCCCTCCTCTGCCTCTACCTGCCTCACATCAGCCTCTCCCATTTCCCGTTGCTCCTTCTCCTCCACTCCTCCTTCCTGCCTTGTCCCCTGTCCTGCACACACGGCACAGAGCGCAGTGCCACAGGAGCACAGCCGTTGCTGGAAGCACGAGGGAGCGCCGTGAGACACAGCCACCGAGATGTGGAAGCGCGGCAACAGTGTGATGCCGTACCTCCGCGCCGTAAAAGGACAGTGTTGCTGATCCAGCCGCGTTGTTCGAATTCAGGATAAATCGGTGAAGGGTTTCTGTTAAAATGAAGTTTTGGCCATTCGTTCGGAGTCGGGCTGTTGTCAGATTGTGCTGCGTGGTGGTGGCGTGGCTGGTTATCAGGGCTCTTGCTCCCCTGTGTGTGTCTGCTGTCTGCTGGGATGTCCAGATGCACTGGTGCATCTTTTCTACCGGCTGGGATGAGTGGGGATGAAGAGGGGGGCTGGGGAGCCAGGCTTTTCATACTGTAGGTGATTCTGGCCATGTGCTCAGAACGTTGTAAAACCTTAGGAGTGACATCATCTCCCAAGAGCCTTGTGATTATTCAACCCCCGGGTAGATGGCGGGGGACTGGCCTTTTAGCATAGCAGGTTTGACCCACATTTGGTTTGTGTAGATCACGTGCTCAGGAGCGCACCTGAGATGGCTGTCTGAAGCCAGAGCAGAGCTGCCTATGCTACACTGACCGCGAACAAAGTCAAGCAGTTTCCTCAGTTCTCTGCAGCACGCTGTCATCGGCGTCATCAGCGTGGTTTCCTGGCCCAGGGGGAGCCAGTAACAGGGAGCGTGGCGGGGGAGAGGAAAAGCCCCAAGCCCCAAGAAATGTAACTTCCATCTCCACAGGAAAGGATGGTGGCACAAGCAAGTGGAATCTGAGGATTTTAAGGAGTGGGAGCTTATGTTGTGAAAAAGGGCACTGAGTGGGAAAGATGCCACTGGCACCACGCAGACATGCTGCCCTTCTCCTGCCATAGCCAGCCTCCTGCTACCATGACATCCCTGACGCAGACTGAGGGCCTGACTGAGCTCTAGTGCTTCAGACAGCCTGAGAGTGAGAGACACAGAAGGAGAGCACCCTAACTGTATGTCACATCAGAGAGTGCACGGAGGACGGGATAGAAGGTGATGGCAGCTTTAGATGACACTACAGAGTCCATGACAAGTACAGGATATTGCATAAACCTCGTTATGTAACATGAGGGAATAGGAAGGGATATGTGCTGGGGGCAAGCAGGAGGTCTGGCATATTGGATTAATTCCCCTCAAAAGGTTTTGCCAGCCGCTGTGCTTTCCCCACTCTCTCCTTGCGCTGTGCCGATGATGGGTTATTTCTTTCCGATGGGGAAAAAATCCCGCCCGCGAGGTGCTGCCGGGCTTCTAAGACCGGGCTGCGTTTGGAATGTGGGAATACGCAAGGACACATCTAGGCCAACCTTGGATTGGATACGGAGGAGCTAGCTGGATCAGGGGTGATGGGCACCGATGACTTCACACGGCAAAGGCAAGGAGGCTGATGTAATTGCAGTGCTACGTTACAGAAGAGAAACAGGGAGGGGCTCCGCGGTCTACTGTGTCAGAGAGCTTCGGGGGGAGGGGAGGGGGCTCCGTCAGAGCTGACAGTCCTGCAGGAGCTGTAATCAGCTTCACGCAGCGTGTTGTTAATTTGAGGGCAGTTTTAAGACCAGGAAGCATCGGAGCGCAGTGGATTTGTAGGTCAGGGGATTAGAAATAGCACATCTCTGCTGCCAGCTCCCAGTGGGACATGCAAGAGCAAGGATTCTAAGCACTTGTGTGCAAGACCAGAAAGCGGTAATAATACATGTGCCTTTTCTTAGCGTCTCCCTGTAGGCTCAAATGGGTGCTTGATTCAGTCAGTACCTTCCCAATATGTCATTTCTGCTTCTGCCAGCTATCAGACATAGCGCTGCTCTTGTTGTCCCAAATGCACACGTGCACCCAATTTGCAATCACCAATTCTTAATCGTGTCGGCACACCACTACAACTCTCACACCTGTGCTGGAAGGATAAGAACAGACTTGTAGGCAGTAATGTATATCCCCTGGTCTCCTGAGCAGAGGATTGTGGGATTGTTGACATCTCAGGTGGGGTCACTCCTCCTATGCCCTCCAGAAGGGTACGTCACCCATATTACTCCAGCAAACCCAAGGGTACTGCACTATGCATGGGCCAAATCAGTAAACAGCACGCCTTTGCAATAGGTAGCAGGTACCCCCTGTAACAAACGGGTCATTTGTAACCTGTCCTACAAATATGGAAAGGGATCCCACTGCAGGGGACAAGGAGACGGAAAGCTGCTTTCACATCCAGGCGAAACCTGGAAACAGCTGAAGTTAAAGGATGTGCAGACAGCCTTGTCCTTGTCTTTAATCAGCTGCACAAAAACGGGTTGATTAAGCCGGTTTCTAGTTTGATTGGGTAATTGAGGGCCTGGATGGAATGAGATCCAAAAAGCCCTGCACATGATCTCCACAATCGGGCGTACGATTGAATAGAGTCCCCCCGATTCAGATGCCACACAAGGCACTTTTCATGCCACCAGTTGGTTACTTTTCTGTTTCATGTGTCCGTCTTCATGAAACAGCTATTTATAGGCTCTAAACCAGGTCCTCTTCCAGCACGCTGCAGTGTCTGTGCAGTAAGGGTGTACTGTAGCTGGAGCAATCAGCTGAGTTCCGTGAGCTTCTGGAGACCCAGCGTTTGGAGAGGCTCGGGTTATAAGGTCGCTCTTTGGGTATCTGAGATAACAGGGCTGCAAGCACGCTTCAGAGGCCGAGCAGCCCCACAGCTATAGTGCTCTCAGTCTTAAATCGTTGATTGCTGGGCTCTGTCACCCAAGAGCTTTCAGGGATCAGCCTGGTGGCACAGGGACACGGAGTAGGATAGATTAGAATAGTAAGTATGTGGACACAGATAAAGTACGAAGGATAATACATCTTAATTAACAGATAAAGCACTCGCCAGTCTGGACTTCACACCCCCTCTATAGCTAAGCCAGGCAGTTTCAGTGTAGATTGCTCTGAATTGGTACTCGTTTATCTTTATTTCTTAACACTTAACCCTGATACGTGCTGTATGTGTGATTTGCCAAACTATATGATAATAATAATATTAATAAAAAACTTTATTTTATATTACGCCTTTAAAGGTGGCTTCTCAAAGCACTTATATGAGTATGGATATCAAGGTACCTGTCATGTCTTTTTGAACAGTAGCTGTAGGAATGTTGTTACAGGATCACATAGCCTCTTTTTGAAGGCATTACGCTGGCTGGACTGCATGACATGCAGATAAAAACCTTACAGTCTTCAGCATCTCCTGAGCTGTGTGACAGTGAAAACTACCGGTCAATAAAATTAATTAAATATTAACTATCAGCAGGATTGAATTCTCGTGATTATTGGCTTTCACTGCTGTCTTCCTGCTTAAGACTGAAATGGAACACTTCCACTAAGCCAAGCCTCCCAAGCCAGGGACGATTCAAGGTCAGTCATGCCCTTACCCTGTGGGAGTCTGAGCTGCGATGACCCCTCCGATACACTAGGGGGCGCCGTGTTCACAATTTCAGTGAGAGTAGTTCGGCAGGAACACATTAATAATGATGGCATCATGCTCAGATCTATACTGTTACAAAGCGTTTCAATCGATTTGGTTTCCCTGAGGGTCCTTGACTGACTGGTGTTTAAACTACAGAATTCTAATCATTTTTAAAGCAATAAAACTGTAAGCTGTTTAACTGGATGTACATGCATTTAAAGACAGCTGTAGTGCTAAATAATAGTCTCGTTGAACGTGGTGTTAATTTTAATTTTGAACACTTGTTCAGTGGAAAAGTGAGGTAAGTGTGGGGTCCTGGGTTGGATTCCAGGCTGGGATATGGAATTTGCCTGTTTTTTTTTTTTCCAGATGCGCTGGTTTCTTCCAACCTTCCAAAACCACAGTGACTAGGTTAACTGGCGTTGCGAAGGTGTACTTGTGTATATCCTCTAATTGACTGGTGCCTCTTTATGCCTCCAGGATAGGCTTTGACCTGCTGGAATTCTTACTAAGAATAAGCAGCTTTCTGACACTGGTCAAAGAAGCATTTGCAATGGAACGCTGCACTGAGCGGTGGGATTTCTGTATACAAATATATCATTTTGGGGAACTAATTCCACTTCCCAGCAAGATGGAGCAGTTTCTCTGCAACCCACTCCCTTCCTTTTCTCTCCTCACAGCTGCAGAGGCTGAAGCGCTCGCTCTCCTTCAAGTCCATGATGCGCAGCAAGAGCGTGGAGAACTTCTTCCAGAGGTCCAACAGCGAGATCAAGTTTCCCAGCGACCTCATCACCGCCCCGCCCCCGTCCCCACCCCTGCCCATGGAGACCCCTCCCCTTATCTACGGAGACCCCTCCCTCAGCCCCACCCCTTCCCTCAGCCCCAATCCCTCGCAAAGCCCCACCTCCTCCCTGAGCCCTAGCCCCTCCCTCTCCACCAAGCCCTCCGCCCAGCTCCGCCCCCTGAAGACACACTTCTTCCAGGAGCATGTGTTCCGTCGGCCCACATACTGCCAGCTCTGCAAGCACATGATTGTAGGTGAGCCTGTACGCCTCTCTGGCAGCCACCAGCCAATTCGTTAACTTGTCTCTGCAGCAACACATCCACCTGAGCAGAAATGCCTCTTTCCAGAGCTTCTCTTCAGAAACCTATTGCTTAGACCCCGCTAGGTAAAAATCACAAACCCAGGCTTTGCTATAGAGAGCAGCCCACAGACTGGATCTGTATTGGTATTGGATCTGTGTGACATCCCAAAGGGTCAAGAATCAAGAAGTATCTTGTGACTGTTACTGTTTCAGAACATTTTTTATTATTCCTTTTCCAAAATAGCCAATAAGCTTAATCTAATGTAGAAACAGCAGCAAAGAATGACACACACTGGTTAATTAAGCACCTACAGTACAATGTGAAAGAACAGATAATACACACTTTTCATCACTCAGTTCATAATGACTAAAATGTAATGTAGTTTCCTTTATTTCAATTAAAAAGGACAAAACCTGTGTGTGATAATGTCCCCTGCCAAGATCACTTTCCATTGTCTCCCTGCTAAAAAGCTCTTTCAGATAAGGGCAGTAACTCCAAATTCAGTGAGGCCTGTTAATAGAAAAGAAGATTGCAGCATGTTAGCAATTTATCAACATATTTAAAGGCTTTCAAAAATATTCTTGCGGGTTTACTGAAGTCTCGTATGCAATTTTTATCTGCGTGCACACTGCACACTGTAACCAGCCGAAGGATTTTCTCTCTGTGCATAAATACCGTGCAGAGTCTTGCTCCTCATGTTGGTGCTCTGTGTCTCCCTGCCTTTCCGGCTGTGTGTGGATCCATTCCTGATGGGCTTCTGTCTCCGCAGGAAACTCCAAGCAAGGGTTGCGCTGCAAAGCCTGCAAGCTCGGCGCCCACTTGTGGTGTTCGTCGGAACTGTCCCAGCAGCAGTGCAATGGCAAGGTGAGTGTTAGAGCTAGAATGTTGCTGGTGAGAACAAGGGTGATCAGAGTTTGTTGTCTGTCGATCTACAGCACATGGCTCCTCATTTTCTGCTTAATTTTCAACTGCCCACCTTCAAGCGTAGAGACAGGGCCCCACTCTCCAGTTGTAAGATTGTGGGTTTGAGTCTATGTAATCTCAGTCTGCAGAACACACTGGTGTTCAGCTTTGGTCCTAGAGGTCAGTGTTCCTTCTCTGCTCTTGATGGCCTGTGACAAGTGATCATTGGCCACACTGGACCACTTTAACAGTTTTCAAAGGCCTCCAGTTGTTGATGATGTTAAATGACCTTAGGACCTGCTTGATTCTGGAACTCGTGCTGTCTTAACACCGCTTTAGAAACCAGGATAAAATGTCTTGGAAAGCTGATCAATGTTTTGGAATATCGGTCAAGCCATTTGACCATTGGAGGGTGATCTGAAAAATGAGCAGAACCTGTAATGGGGTTAGGAGGCTATCCCCAGACCAAAGAAAGCTGGACGACATCAGCAAACATTGGACAATTTGTTATTTATCTCACTGTATCACAAATCAAACTGCAAAAAAATTAGCACTGCATTTTCAAGTGAAACAGATGATTAAATAACTTGTTTATCTGGCTTGTAATTTTGGCAGCTCTAATTCGTGATTTTATGACTTTAATGTGCCTGCTTCTGATTTAAAAAACACCGAGAAGAACAGAAGGAGGGCCAGTAAAAAGGATTTGTGAGTTTGTGTGCATTTCCGTCACTTTAATGTCTGAGCAATGGAGATGATTCACAATGAAGAGGATGAGGAATCAGAAAGAGAACCGAGATGGAGCACAGTGGAGTGTCCAGGAAAGTGCTACTTGTGTGTAAGGAATTATTTTTATTCTGATAATGCTTGAAAGTGTCATAAAGACCACCAGGGCCGCTGCTGACACGGAAGGTCGATCCTGGGCTCAGAGCTATATCCAGATCCTTTTATTTCTCTGCCACCCGAGACATCGTGTTAGTTTTTGCCGCAAGTCAGCGAGGAAAATCAATACCTCTTTTTATAGGCTGAAGTTTATACACCAGGATCGTTCACGTCTGAATAGACATGGCTTCATCAAGGAACCTGCTGGAGGGAAGGGGGAGGGGGATTTGGGCAATCGGAGGGAAGGGGGTTCCGAGCTGGGGCACCTCTCACTGGGAGAGAGGGGCTCCAGGGCCAGATGGGTGACCACACCCCCCTGGCTGATATGGGAGAATATTAAGGCAGCTGGTTTTTAGGGCCGATGCTCCGTGCACTGCAGTCCTTTCCCACTCTCCCAGCTCCAATCTGCTTGTCTTGCAGACCCAGAGCAGTGACAGGTCGCAGACTGTGAGTTATTGATTTAATCTCCCTGCAAGCTCCCTTTGTGTTTTTAGAAACAATTGTCCTTTAATTCACGGAGAAGAGACTGAAAGGCTTTAGGTCTGAGATTGCCGGCGCCGAGTGTCAAGAGGTGATGAATGATGAAATGATTTCAATAATAAGGCCGGCGTGGGGTTTGTTACCCCCGGAAGTAAAATTGTAGGTGAAAAAAATCTCATTTTCTGACCTTTTCAACAACCAGCAGGGACCCGGTCTAAAACAGGGGGTGGATATGCAAACTGGTAGGGTGTGTAATGTTCTGCGCTGAGCTGATGAAATGAGGGATGATGATAAAAAAAATGAATATTAATACGTTCTGGCAATCATCCCAGTTTTAATTGCATATCATTCTCATTGCCTCTGAAATAGCAACGAGGTATTGATTCTGAAAAGTCGAGATACTGTCCATTTCGCTCTTGGGGTGGGTTTTTCAATCCATGATGAATTCCAAACCTGCACACCCGTGAATGTGCAATTCAGTGCGCGATGATGAACTGCACTTCTCGCACAACACGAAGGCCGTTTGACAATGAAAGAGCACAACCCGCGCGTGTGTGTGTGTGTGTGGGAGTCAGCGAGTGGAGAGGAGCTGGGCTCCGCGCGTGTGAGAGAACTGGCTGACGGAGCCCTGCGACCCCCAAACGCACACGTGCACCCGCTCACGAATGCACACCTGCAATAGGAAGAAGAGCTGCTCGAATTTGCATACATGCATAAGAGGGGACCCACTAAGCACACCGCTGTGGTACCCCCCCAGAATGGAAACCATTCTGCGCCAGCAGCCCCACAGCACAGCATGCCTGGAGGAGAAATGAGAAATGACTTCACCAGTCGAATGAAAAGAGGACCTTTAGGGAGGTCACGAGCCAAGAGGTGAATTTATCCAGGACACCAGGTTTAATGCCCCTCCTTTTGCCAACAAGACGGTGCCCTGGGATCTTTAAAGACCAAGTCAGGACCTCTGTTTAGAGACTCGTTCAAAGGACAGCATCTCGTAAAAAGGGCAGTGTCCCCTGTCATCACACTGGTGCACTACAAGAGTGTGGGAGTATAGAACATGCTGCCGAGCCTTGCCGATATCCTGACAGCTTTCAAAAAGCAGCTGGATGAGATCTTTGGATTAATTATCTGCTAACTACCAAACGAGCTAGAGGGCCTGACTGACCTCCTCTCATTTGTCACTGTTCTCCTGTACTTGCATCAGAAATAAGGTATATAGACTACAATACATACTGCCTCATTTGCTTAAGAATTCATCAGTGCCTATTCAGTTATGAAAGATATCTTTTAGGTCTTATACTCCAAGCTGTAAGGTCAAATTATTGCATTTATTCAAAAGAAGGAAGCCCTATGACGTTGGAGCCGAGTTAAGCTGAATCCCTGGTGCCCAGAACAGTGATAACACTGTTGTAGACGGGGTCAAGCAGTGGCAGACATTTACAATGCTCTGTATTAAGTAAACAGGCTTGTAATGTCAGAGACAACTGCACCTCCTTAGAGCATGTTGATGTGAAGCCGGCCCTGTGCCACAGAGGGCCGATCTCCTAAGGGAACTTTTAAGCTGCTTCAGTGAGGAGGTGCAATTACAATTCTGTGCACGACTGAACCGGCTGAACCAGCCATATGTATGAATTAGTACCTGATGAGAGACAAAGTAAATAGTGTCAAGTGCATCAAAGTATCACAGATATTACAACCTCCTCTTCTCTTTTCCTCCGTTATGTGTCTGCTGCTGTTTTCCAACTATTTCACCCTCTCTATACTTCTGTCTCACTTTTACTTTTCTGTATCTCCATCCCCCTTCTCTCTCTTGCTTCTTTTCTCCTGCTCTTTGTCACACTTTCTCCTCGCCTCTCTCTCTCTCTCTCTCACAGTCGGGGGCGTTCAAAAGGAACTTCAGCTCTCCGCTCCTGGTGAATGATCAGCTGGGGGTCGTTAAGGAAGCCCCTCCCTCTGGTAAGTGACTTAACGAGCCTCATTAGCTTATTGGCGCAAGCAGCGGGACGTGATGGCGAAACGGGGCGGGCTTGCACCTCCTTTCGCGACTGCTCCAGCTCAGTGCCGACACAGACAGGAGCAGCACAGAGATCTGACAACCCATCCAGAATTCATGCCAGGATTTTGGATTGCTCTAAGCCACTTGTGGGTTGTGATTCCATACAGCAAGCCACCTGCTTAAAACGCCGCAAGTTAAAGAAGCGGTCTCATCGGGGGTCATTTGTCCAAAAGCGAGATAACTAACATCCAGATTTGCAGCCAAGCCCTTCTCTCCTTTCCCTTGAGGTTTACACCCACATGGAATGAGAGTTTTTGTAGGCATGCCTCTGTTTAAGCAGTTACTGTGAAAGTTAGTTTTGATAATGTACTTAAAGGGCTTTTTTTGTGCTTACAGTGTTAAATGTATAATGAGCGAATGTCCTCTCTGGCAATTCAAGCAACCCCTGTCCTCAGCACTACAGTATACCAGTAGAGTTGGTCAACGTGCAGGCCTTCCAGTTTATTCCTTTGCAGCACTTTGAAACAAACTGAAACCTTATGTCGATACTGCTGAACATCAATTAAATAATTAAGTAGCACAGTTCTGCAGTGGGGCGGATGGGAGGGGTCTCAGGTTGAGCAGGTCCCGCTGGTTCAGGCTGGTTTTCTACGTGCGAGTGTGACCGTACCCCTCTCGCTCCAGCTGTGAAGAACCGGATAGACCCGGTGTACGAGACTCTGAGGTACGGCACGTCCCTGGCACAGATGAGCCGTTCGAGTTTCGGCAGCGTCTCGGAGTCGCCCACCAGGAGCATGGTAGGGGCACCAAACTGGGTCTGCCACACTGTCTCACGTTGTAACCCTCTCTGGGCATGTGCATGCCTTCTGACGCCAAGCCTGCTGAAACCTTCCCTCTAAGAACAGCTCATTGTCTTGCTCTCTATGCACCACATCTGTGTTTGTCTTTGCCTTCTCCCTGATGGAGGTCTTGTGCTGGCCTGGATTTAGTCACCAACACTGTTGCTCTCTCTGTACAGAGTGAGAGGAGTGAGGGAGCTGAGGATGGGGAGGACAGTCAGCGCAGCACTGAAGAGGAGGGCATCCAGGGCCCTGGGGGTAAGAGACACACTGTTCTGCATGTGGGGCACGAGTCACATGGTATACAAACACTGCACACTGCTGGAGGAGAGGTACTGCACACTGTCTAGGAATACTGCACACTGCTGGAGGAGAGGTACTGCACACTGTCTAGGAATACTGCACACTGCTGGAGGAGAGGTACTGCACGCTGTCTAAGAATACTGCACACTACAAGGGGAGAGGTACTGCACACTGTCTAGAAATACTGCACACTGCTGGAGGAAAGAGAGGTTCTGCACACTGCATGGTGTCCACTGTATAGGAACACTGCACACTGCTGGAGTTGAGATCCTGCACACCGCAGTCTCCACTGTATATGAATACTGCATTGCTGCACAGTACTAAACACTACAGCATAAGGTACACTGTAGTATAAACACTTTACTGATTTATACATACTGAAGTTCAAACACTACATAACTCTTCATAACTACTTCTCAGTGACAACAAAGCATTCGGAAAAAAGCCCAGTTGGACACTGGGTTGGAAAATACCTGACCTATAAACTCAGCACACTGTACTGAAGATACACACGGCACAATCTGATCTGGAGTGGACTGTGAGTGGAGTATGAACGCTCTGTGGCGCTCGGGACCGTGGGACTGGATTCATTGATTTTTCTCTCCCTCTTCACCCCTCTGCCCCCTGCAGAAAGCGAGAAGGCAGGGTCTGAGGACAGAGTCAGCCTGAAGGTACAGACCACCTCTCAATTAATCATGCCGTCTCCTTACACTTGATCGGAGGTGAAGGGAGGTTGAACTTTCTGACTTTCTTCTTTATGTCCCCCTCCCTCCTGCCTACTGTCTTCCTCTCTTCCGTTCTCCCATCCATGTCCCCCCCTGTCTCTCTGCTCCACTCGGCCCCTCTATCTCTCTCCAATGATCAACCCCCCCCTCACCCCCACAGGCGCCAGCGCGGATTGAGGTGTCCCACATGCACACCTACGTAGTGCTGTACAAGTTCGTCCCGCAGGAGCAGAACGACCTGGAGCTGCAGTAAGTGGCCGGCCTGGGACCACGTGTCCACGTGTTGGGGAAATGATGGAAGGACACGCTCCTTCGTCACACCCACACACTGTCTGCTCATCTGTTTGTAGCAAGGGCCAGCTGCTACATCACCCTGCAACTCATAGTTGATGCCGGTCAGAAAAGAGGTGCATCTCTTACTGACATGGTGATATGGAAGGCAATGAGTCATGCTGCCTCACAACTCTTGGATCCTACGTTTGACTCTGGTCTGGTGCACCTTCAGCATACAGTTTGCATATTAATCCCAGGACTGTGCAAGCCTCATACTCATACTGTCCAAAGACCTGCTGTGTATCTTCGCAGGGTTTCTGATATGTGAGTCTAGAGTGTACCCTTGTGCCCACTGTCTGCTGCTTTAGATCGCATTTTTGAAAGGGTAAAAAAAAATGCACTGTGGGGCCTCCTGAGTGGCTCAAACAGTAAAGGTGCTTACCTGAGCCCATAGGCCGAGCCTCTTGGTCACGGGTTCGAGCCCCGAGTCATGGCACTAGGCAGTGATGACGGGGATTGCCCAGGGGGTGGCACAGTTGTGGCCTCCTGTTGTGTTCAGGAATGGGGTGCTGTCAGGGAGAGCCATACCTCTCCTGCACTCCATAGCAATGATTCTAAATAAAAAGACAAAGAGTGAGTCACCTTGTTGGCAGGTTCATCTGAAACTGAGTGCGGCAGTTTTTGAAGAATGAGGGATGAGAGAGAGAGAGATGGGACAGGTTCTTCCAGGAGCTGCCGCAGTACTGAAGGAAGAGGTGGTCCCTGCCTCTCACAAACCATGATTCCGTCTTCCTAGGCTAAGGCAGGTTAGCCGGACAGAAATGGAGGAAAGAGAGGGGGAAAGAGAGAAATAGCAGATAAGGTGACACCTACAGCTCAAAGATATGGAGGGGCAGATAGTAAAGACTGAGAGCAGGCAGCGGGAAATGGGGGCTTGTGATGAGGGAGGAGTCCTGCAGCAGTGAGCGAAAAGCAGGCCTGAAGGGGTTTAGCCATCTAGGACACAGGTGCCAATCCTTAGGGATCACTTTGAAATGAGCATCCTCTAAGAAAAGTGCAGGTGGCCAGTTTTTCAGCAACGCTCTTATGTCTGCAGAATATTTTTGCCCTTTTCATTATTTTCTGTTCTGAAAACGAGTTGCCGGTTATTCTCCCATTCTTGCGCCCGGCCAATTTGGAAATCGTTGATTTATTGACCCACCTGACTTTGCAGTTAGGAGCCCCTCTGCTGCGCAGGGACTGGCTAACGTGCTGCTGAGACATGCTCGTCTCGCGCAGAGCCATGCGGCGTGCGGCATGCCGCAGTGCACCATGGGAGAGCGGGCTCCGACGGCAGGGGTGATGCTGTTCACACCCGTGCCTCTGCAAGCTCTCGGTTACCGGGCGAACCCCAGGGGGCGCTGTGGCGTAGTAAGACAAGGAGTTCCCTAGCTCATGCCCACCCAGCCCCAGTGGAGCTCGCCAAGCTGCACGCCGACTCTTTAAGACAATGCAGCCACAGATGGGGCTCCAACGGGCAGTGCCTGGGTTGAAGAGGGCGACACTTTGGGAAAAGTCAGAAACAACATCCTGTGGTCTCCCTCTCTCTTCCCCAGCCCTGGTGATCGCGTGCAGGTGACGGACGACTCGAATGAGGACTGGTGGAAGGTGAGGCAGGCAACATTGTTTAATTCGTTTGACATGATATGATTGTACTGAAATCCTGTCTGCAGAATTGAATTGCCAGGGTACTGGTGCCTGACATTCAATATCAGCCAGTTTGGCCCCAATTCTCCAAGGCTAGATTATTAATAGAAGCCTGGAAACTCCCAGAAGCTTCCACTTAAACACAAACAAGGCCAAAAAAAGTCCCATTTATGTGGAGAGCATTAGAAATGCTAGAATATAATGGATCTAAGTAAACGCTCTGACCCGGAATGACATTTAATGAAAGTTTAATGAGGTTTAGTCAAACTGTATCTTTAATGGAATCATTAGAGACACCTGGATGAAGAAAGAGTCAGTGAAGCTACAGGCAGTTCAGTCTCATGCACACGCATCTGACCTGGGCACACGCACACACAGGCACACACATCTGACCTGGGCAGTTTCAGATTTAAAAGAAGAAGCTATGTGACTGACATTAGAGTCATCTCCGCATTCTGTCAGGAACCGCCTATCTCCCTCCTCCATGTGGATGGTAATACAGACCCAGACACACAGAGGTGCACAGAGAAAATCACACACGCACACACGCAGACAAGTACAACTCCAAGACACACCGACCACACGGCACCCAGTGGTGGACCGAGACTTCAACATTTCGGGAGGGGGCTAACCCTGGCGATGTAGCACACACTTTTCTTGGAGGAGGGGGCAGACAAATCACTTTGCGGGGTGAGAGGACGTTGTCCTCATTAGCAGTGCCAGGGAGAGTGACGAACTCCTGCTTCCACAGATCACAGATGGGACGCACTCCATCTTTCACACTCCATTAGAAACACTGCCTGTGCGAATGTGCGGAAATGCATTCAAACCATCCCCCACAAACTCCGAGAAACTTTCTCTCACACAAATTCAGACGAACTGCTGCAAGGAAGCAGACACTCAGCTCTCAACATCATGATACCACCAAAGTGAACAAAGATCAAAGGAAGATCCAAGTTTTCAAACCAGCATGCCAGTCCATTAAAAAAAGTGAATGACGTTTTCGATGACCCGCTGATGATGTTTAAGGGGTAACAGAATTTGCAATCCACAGAGCCAATGCTACTGGCTGGATTCTTCCAGCGTGAGCGATGATCGACAGATGCACCAATGATTTCTTATGTCTCTCCGGCAGGGAAAGAGCGCAGACAAGGTGGGATTCTTCCCGGCTAATTTCGTGCAGAGGGTGAGGCCGGGAGAGCGGGTGTGGAGGGTGACTCAACCCTTCCATGGCAATCGGGAGCTGGGGCAAATGACCGTGAAAGAGTCCCAGGTAAGAGCAACACGCACACTCCTGATCACAGAGATGAAGGGCTTTTGCTCACCCTCTGATGAGGTCTCTCATCTCTCATTCATTACTGACTTGCCTGTTTCATCTTCATCCTTCTGGGGAAGTATGTGCTCCAAAGTGTGAACCCATCCATCCTTTTTCTGACAGCTTCTCTGAACTCAGGGTTGCAGGGTTGCTGGAGCCTATTCCGGCGAGCAATGGGCGCAAGGCAGGGTACACCCTGGGCAGGACGCCAGTTTGCTGAGGGGCAAACACAGACACACACCCGCTCACACCAGGGCTACTTTTCTGAGGAGCCAACTAATCTACCAGCATGTCTTTGGACTGTGGGAGGAAACCGGAGCACCTGGAGAAAACCCAGGCAAACATGGGGAGTCCATGCAAACTCCACCCAGATAGTACCGCTGGTCAGAAATTCAACCCAGGCACCGAACTTGGAGCATTTAAGCAGGCACTCATGGTGCAGTAGTGAGTTTAGTCTTGTCTCAGTCTGTGTGCTGTAACACGGCTTGGTTTATAGCAGGCCAGGACCTTTAAAACTGTTGGTAGGGAATTTCTTGGAGAAACAGCAGTTTATTCTCCTTTTGGTGTCTTTTCTCTTTTGCAAATATTTGTTTCCTTGCAAAAGAGCACCAAGCAAAGGTGCAAACTTGACCGCCCCTGTACTTACTGCCAGCCAGATTAGGCAGTAGATATTAATTATTTTCAAATTCTAATCCTACTATTACTACAAATTAATAAATTAGGAGACCTGAGTGGCATGGTACTGTACCATGGTTCTATCCCAACTGATTGACAGCTCCTGGGGTCCTGGTTTTGATTCTGAACTGGGATGCTTTCTGTGTTTCGGTTTGTTTGTAGCTTTTCTCCCTGGGCATGATGCTCCACCTCCAAGACCCACACTGGCCGGATGTCTCTGCATTGCTTCTGTGCATCCTGGCCAGGGTGTAATCCTGCTCTGCACCCTGTGTTTCCAGGACGGGCTCTGAGTAGTGTTGACCCTGACCTGGAATAAGCAGCTTTGTAACAGATTACTCTTAACTAAGCCCTTAAGTAAGTCAGGGCTCCTCACTACACTAGAATACAGTTTGAGAAACACCTGTTTTCTGTCTCTGTCAGATCTGTGTGGGGAAGAACGAGGAGGTGAATGGCTTCCTGAAGCTGACCAGTGGGAAGAAAAGAGGTCTGGTCCCCTACGACTCGCTGGACGAGATCTGAGCCTGCCTTGAAGACCCCTAAAAATCTTTGCCTTCCCGCCCCCTTAAGCGCACGGCTGAGCCCGGGGCAATCCTGAACCCCCCTGCAACCTCGCTGCATCATCTGGGTCGAGGGGGAACGGAGGAGGGGAGGGCACCTTGGCGATCCAGTGGAAGATCCCCTCAGTGCTGCAATACAGGAGCCCCGAGGAGGGGGTACTCCCGAAGCACCCTGCATCCTGCACCCCGATAATCCCGCCCTAACACCCCCCCCATCGGCACTGAAGGACTGGGTCGGCCCACCCCCAATCTCACGACTCGCGAAGCAGCATGGCTGGAGTTAATGGGCATTTCTAATGCGAACCTCTTACGTGACCTGCTCTTGTCATCACGGATCCTAGTGCTATTAATCTTGCTCTTCTGATCATTAGTAGGTAGATTTAGAATCACTGTAATCAACACTGCAGCAAGCACATGTGGGAGAGATCCTCTGACCTACTTTGACCTCAGGCATGATTTCGGAGTTCCAGAACAGTTCTCTGTTGAAGCGGGCGGTTCTCTGATTTCCCATCAGGCCTTTGTCTTTCCTGGGTCACGGTCACCCTGGACTTGGGGGTGAGATCACCTCTTGCCTTTGGAAACGGCTGACCAAAGCCAAAGTTGGGGCGCACTGCATGACAGAAAAAGGTAGTTAGTAATGAGTATGTTACTCCCTAGCTGGCCTGCAGGGACTCCTTGTCGTTTTTCGTGTTATCTTTCTCTTGGTCCTGTCCCATGTACTGTAGACTTCTCCTCCTACTCCTCGGTGCTTGAAGAGTGTTGGACCTGGATGGGTTTGTGTAGCTGTGGGATCGGGATACTGTGGTGTCCTGATTTTGTTTCGTAGGGTTGCATTTTATTTTAGAGAAGCCTGGCTTCAGGGTGTGAACAGAAGATGAGTCCCATGAAGGAGCAGGTGCAATAGGCTGGCTTTAACAGAGGTGACTGTTGCACTGTTAATCTTTGAAACTGGATAAGAGTCTAGGGTCTCTCCTTAATGACCTCTAGCACTGAATTTGCAAACTATGAGTAGGCAAGGGAGAATTCATTCTATATATGTATGGTGTGCACTTTTCCTCCTAGTGAGGTTTTTCCTGTGTGTTTAAATTCTTCTAAATGAAGCTCTTTTGAAGGATGTGTAAAAACAAAACTTTTGTGTATCTGCAACTGAAACAGTCTTTGACACTAAAAAGCCAGCCTTTGTGCTAAGGAGCAAAACATAGCATGTTTTCAGGAGAGATGGGGAGGGGGGCAGTGCACTTTTTCACGATTAGACCTTAAACCAAGTGCTACTAAACTCTGAATTGCAGACTCCACTTTCGGAAATTTCTGCTGGTTGAGAGGCTACCAAACCCCTCACTGCCCTATATGCTGAGAAGCACTATTTGCAAAGAAAGTAGTTGGTGTGCTCAGACAGATGCTCACTAAAGCCACCGCGCAATGCTCCTATCTCATTTATTACAACTACATCTGAAATTATCCTTTGCGTTTTAATATATTTAGAAATCCTCAATAGTTTTTCTCTACAGTGAATCTATAAGCATCTGAACACCAGCTGGACAGACATTTGACTCTTTAGGTCTTGTAAAGGATAACGCACCTGGACACTCTGGTCATCCTGGGACTGGTTTAGAACCCACCTGGGTTTTGATCTCCCTACACCAGCGTCAACCATTTATCCATTAGCAGATAGCTGCTCTGCGTATTTCTGGTGATGACCACAGCCTATCCCCAGAGCACAGGGCACAAGGTAGGACTACCGCAGATCATGTATTTTTAAACTCAACCGTGCTTTACTATGTATATAGAACATGCATGCTTTAGAATAAGCACATTCAATAGATTATATACAGTGCACAGCAATGCAATATTTAAAATGCACAGTCAGGTGCATTTCACCTGTGGAAATATACAGTGCTTTTGTGCTTGCACTCACTTTTGGAAATAATTTTTTATCGCAGTTGTGTTGCGGTTTCTTCAAGGCCAAGCATGAGCAGTAATATGTTGGGCCATGGTTCCAAAATATTGATTTTATCAGGAAAACAGGACCTAAAAGGCACGTGACATCAAGGAACATCTCAGAAACGAAAGAAATCAACCCACTGGGTTTACAAAGAAATTCAAAACCAGCTCTCTCTCTCTCTGTCCCTTCTTCCCTGAATAACACTTTAGGCCTTCTCACAGTGCAGCAGGCCTGAAAGTTTACACTGAAATCATTAGTCAGTAACAATACAGAACATATGAGATTTGGTTAATTAGTGAGTTAATTGGTTCAGTTAAGGAAGCAGTGGTCAGCTGCAGTCCTTGAGCACTATGTGCTGTTGATAATTTAATTGAAAATAATCTTTAAAATGCTTAATTGAACACACTGCCTGCTTACGTGGTCCAAGGGGAATAGTTTCCAGTTTACTTTGATGAGTCAAAGATGACCCCTTAAAAACTGTTAGACTGTGGCTCCCCAGGGACAAGGCAGGCCACCCCTGCCCTAAATAAGAAACAATTCTGGGGTTTTATAGATGGAAGTGGGTGTTCAGGAAAGGCTGATCGCTGACCGACCCTGGAGAATGAGGGAACGTGGCCACATTTTCATGCCCCATCAGAGATCGGCAACAACGGGAGTCTTGCTACTGAGGAACCACAGCCACACTGTGCTCACTGCACTGGGCCATGGGCCCCAGAATGGAGCCGTGATGCACTACAGTGAATATTAGTCACAGTGTTCCCGGGGAATAATGTACTGAAAGAGAGACATGTTAAAATCCCTGGAAACCATAGCAAAACCACAAAGAGTTAAATACCACAATTAATTCATCATGGCGAATTTCTGTGTGGGTGACCTGGACATGAGACTGGCCAGGAGGCTGGGTGAAATGGCGCTTTTAGCAGAGTTTGAAAACCCATTTCAGTGTATTGTCCTGTAAGTACTGTTCTGTACTGTCTCCACGCTTCTGATTTCTGTTCTGCCGGCCAAGAAGACCAAAGGGAACGACTCCAAGATGTGAGGCCGTGAATGCAACTGAATCCGGACTAGATGAAGGGCTCGGGGCTGCAGGATCAGACAGGGAGAGGAGGGACAGAGTTATAAATAAACACGCCGAGACAAAGAGCATCTCTCCCTTGAAGAGACTGTCGTCTCCGCTTTCTCCTTTTGAAAAACCTCTTATTGGCATGCAGCCCCATGTCTTTATCAAAGAGGGGCAGGAATAACTGCAGCATGTAGGCAGGGGTAGGATAGAGGGGGCTGAAAGACTGAGAAGAGGGGTCTCTAGCCCCCCATGTGATAGACACGGCCCCTGAGCACCACTTGGACATGTGGAGGTTTGAGTATGCAAGTCTTTTTTACCTTGGGAGGGGCTGTTATAGAATCGTTCAATGCTTCTCTGTGTGTACTGTATGTACCTGTGTAACTGTATCGGCGTAAAGTTTGTGCATTAACTATCAGATATTTTAAGACTGCATGCAGGACTTGTAGGGTCTCTTGTCTGCATATGTGTCTTATAGGCCTGTCAAGAGTGTGTTTGAGTATTAGATTCCTGTGTGTGTCCTTACCATGATCAAAGTACATCACAATGAAAATGGTACCACGGTAAAAATATCTTGAAGCATAATGAGGTACGGGAAAGCTAAATACTCTCGCAGAATGCAGAGTGTACCAATGGTAAAACAATTAGAAACTGCGAAATATTCTGTACTTTTGCCATGGTAAGCTTTCATCAAGGCATGAAAGAGTGTTAAATTGCAAATGAAGTACAGGCCAATGTGTTTAATTTGTAGTATTTGAGTATGCAGGTAGCAGGATGTTAATGTATTAGTGTACTTGTGAGGATGTGATCTAATGTCAGGTGTGAGTCAGTGTAAGCAAACTTAATATCTGATCTGGTGTCACAGGTGCGTCACTGTATTAGTAGTCTGTGAGTGCTATTGTGCACCAGGGCTGTGTCAGGTAGCCTAGGGTGTCAGTGCGTATAAGAGCTCCTCTCTCCTCTCCGTGCACCAGTTTGGCTGGTTTCCAGCCCTGTGCTACTCTGGGTCCCTGGCCTGGGATTAACACAGCCTTAATTTAGACTCCAGCAGCTCGCCTGCTATTTCTAGCTGTGCTGGCACTTTATTAATCGCAGTGCTGAATCCCACAAGGGCGCAAGACACAGAAAAACAGCAAAGGCGACGCACATATTTAGAGATTTGCATGCAAATCACTGTTAACCTTTTCACAACGCGCTCAATTTCACCAGCAGTGAGCAAGGAACAATATCCGCTACTTGACGAATTCGTCATCTGTACAGAACAGTAGACTTTGCTCAAGGCCAAGGACATTGAAATGTACAGAAATATATACCAGCAGAAATGAAGGGCATGCTAAAATATAGAAAACGAGTAGCTTTGTGTTTATTCTATGTATAGCTGACAGTGTGGGAAGATTAAATATAGATCTGATGATGTATTGAAATGACTTAAAAAAAAATTCAAATGTCATTTAGAGGACATAACAATTTCCTGGTAGCATAGCTGGTAGTAAAATAATGACCTTAAACAAGGTTGTGGAACCAAATGTTTTAATCTAATTGTTTTAGGACATTTTCCTAAATGCGTTTAAGCAAGCAGGGTGGAAAAAAAGCAGATTTAAGAATGATTAAATTTGCCGGTGCTGATGTAGGGCAGGTGTTTTTTGTGACTGACTGGGTGGGTCCCCATCCAGGTTGCCCAGGGCGGGGGGTGTGCCGAGCGATTCGGACATCTGCCTCCTGTCTCGTCGGTGCTCAGTGTAGGTAAAGGACAGGGAGGAGTGGGCGGACAGCCTCTGTGAATGGGGTCAGATCCTGTGTGTCCATTTCCCTATAAACTACTGCTAAACAAAATGCAGCAACCCCCAAATACACTGCAGGTATTGCAAAGACAATTTAAAAGGCCTATGAATCCAAGAGTAATTTGGCAGGGCTGTGGAAGGGGAACGCCCCAGACCCGGGCAGTGAGAGGTGCCCAAGCTGGCAAAAACAGTGCCCAAGGGATGCCAAGGTGCTTCAGCACAGGGGTGGCCACTGTACCCATTAAGCCAACCCCTGCTTTCATATAGTCATGTAGTTCAGTAGGTTTAAGGGATCGCTTGTCTAATTCCCAATTCTAAAGTGTTTCAGTCTTTTCTTGTTGCCATTTAAAACTGTCCCCATTGTGGCAGAACTTGTCTAATATTCCTGTCTTTGCCTTCTGCAGCACTGCTGCCCCAAACTCTCCCTTCTACATGTTGGGAATTGATCTCTCATCAGTTTTCCCCAGCGTGAAAGCGATTGTTTTGAGTAACCCAGTGGAGGTCAGAGGGATTTTACCTCTAGCGCAGCTGTTCAGAAAGGCTCTCCTGCCTTTCGTCTTGTTCCCTCCCTATTGCAGGGGTGGCGCTGAAGCATTTGACAGATCTTGGTATTCTGCTTGCGTCCCTGTCTACAGACAAGTTTATTCCCTTTTTTTTCTGGGCGTTTATGAGAAAGGTCACTGGATGATAGGCCTGTTAGAGCATTACTCATAAATGGTGAGTGTGTCTGGGCAAGAGATGCGATTTGAAAAGTTTTTTTTTTGCCTCTGGCAGGCAATTAGTTAGACCCCATGCTAACGATTATTAAAGAACGCAGATGTATTGGAAAGCACGTACCATCTCACTCTCTCTTCGGCGTCCGGGAGCCGAAAGCAACCGGGCAACTGGATCACAGGTTCTCCCAGGGCCTGTCTGCACCCCATTTAAAAAGATCTTGATGCCACTCCAGCGGTGCTAGGAACCAAGGGGAATCAGAAGCAGGATCTCTTCCAGCTCCTGTCTAGGAGTCGGAAGGAAACAGAGGGTTAGGAGAGTGGAAGGGATCACACCTTCGCCTGTTGTCTGCAGAAGTCTTTTTTGCTGGATTTCCATGCACCTACCAACCTCCCCCCGGCATCAAAAACACAATAAGATTCTCTGCAGAGCATCTCTATCTTCTGAGCAGCACGGCAGCCCTTACAGAAAATCAAAAGTATTGATCTAAACTATCCCAATACCTTCCCCCCCACTCATAAAAGACCCACTCTAAAGCTTGAAGACTACTAGTCTACTGCCCTTCTCGCGCTGTGATCGTCAGCGTGATCCAGTGTCGGCTGGCTTTCTGTTTCTCCAGTGCTCCTGAAATGTTCAGACAGGGCGAAGAAAAAAAACACAAAATTGCTGCAATCAATCCTGCAGCGAGCAATTGTCCAGCAGGAGCATGACAGCCGGAGCCCGAGAGACCTGAGCAGGACCCCCGAATTGATGATGAGGGGATGAGGGGGCGGGGGACGGGTCTGGGATTTGTGTTGTCTGAGCTCACAGTTTCTAAATGTCATTTTTCCAAAGGAACGGGTGCATGGTTTTTAGCAAAGTGTGGCATTTAACAATAGAGGGGTTAGGAAAGTAGGGATTCTGCAGGACTGGATCTCCGGGACTAGAACGTTGAATGTTTAAATGGGATTATATAAAATTGGAAATGATAGTTGTATCTGGATGCTTCTCAGTGGCACTGTGGTGACAGTGGAGGGGTGAATGTAAGTTGCCTGTGCTCCACAGCGCCCTCTAATGTCCCATATAGTTGTTGTTCTGTGGAGTACTTAATTACTGCTGTACAGTTACTCTGAATCCCAGAGAGGAACGGAAGGCTTTTCTAGTTATTTTTTCTCTCTTGTAACAAGGCAGTGAGCCCTGCTGTGCTTTGCGCAAAATGGCAATAATTACTATTCTAGGTCTGTGATTTTACCTTCCACTGTAAATAAGAGATAGATATAACTGTACATAAAGCTGTGTGTGTGTACAGACAAATATGAAATGTTCTATATTGCAGAAGGAGGCAATTGTGGGAGATGGAATGGAGGAGAACCTTAATGTCTTTGCACAAAAAAGTGCTGGGGTCCTGTGCTTCTGGCTTTCACTATCTATGATGGGTGTGAGAGCACAGTGCTGGGTTATAGCTTGACCACTCTGGCCATTTCCTTGTGGGAATTTGCTTGTCATTAAAAAGACAATTTGCATGGGCTCTCTCAGAATGGGTCACCTGGACACAGCATCCAAGCAGCCCAAATAGAAATAAAACTAATGATCAAGGGCTTCAAGAGCACCATCGATTGGGCTTAATTTTCCTTTATTATTATAACACAGTATTTACCATTAACCAGATGCTGCAGACCCAGACCTCCAATCTGCCGTTTTATTTCCTAATTGTGCAAACGACACGCCAGCCAGCAGTGCCAGGCTCTTGAGCGCTTTTGTGTTCGCTGGAAACAGAAATTAATGTAATTTGACGTGAGAGTCGGCAATCAGGACCCGTTTGTCTCCAAAGGCACTCGGAGGTGTGGAGGGGGGCGGCAGTCGAGCGAGGGAGGCTGAGGCCGAGACGCTGATGTTATCGCAGCCAGTTAAGCTCTGGCCCTCTCTGCACCCCCCCGCCCCCTCCACACCATCTCCCACCAGCCTCCTCACTCTCTGCATGCATGACAGCACCGAGTGAGAAACCTCAGGTTTGACTTTAATAAACCTCAGTTTAACATTGCGTGCTGTGGGCCTGTGTCTGCCTGCCTCCTGTCTTTTTTTATTTCTCCTGCATTTGAATCAGTCACCCCTGGGGCTTTCAGAACAGCTGAGAGAAATGCCAGATCAGGGGGGGGTGAAGGCATTGCCTTAAATGTCACATTATTTACACAGCATCACAAGAAACCACTGTAACAGCAACACCTTCGCAAAATTATTGAGTAATCTTTTTGGTAACGGGTGCAATGACATTTTATTGATCACACAGGATGCAGATAAATTCACAAAGCTGTTTGACATTTGTTATCAATGGGGTCCCCTGCCTTGGGCCTGCTGCTCCCAAGCGACCCTGCATTGGAAGAAGCAGGCAGAAAATGGATACACAGCATGGGCCAGCGAGATCCAGTGTAGTAGAGGGAACTTGCAAACACAAACATCACAAGCTGGCCATCGGGGACCCACACTTTGCACCTGGTTACAGGTTACTGTCCTGTGGGATTCTGTCCCATTCCTCTTGCAGAGCCTGGACAAGCATAAATGCCCTGGCTTCATTACTGGCGAGCCCACAAATCAGTGTGTTGCTCACACATCTCCATTGTTTCAAAAATTAACAATGATCACTGATGAGAGTTGTGCGCGTGTTCGGCTTGCAAATGATAATAATTTGATCATTAGAAATGATTAAATCTCCTCCTCACAGCTAAATCACTGATGCGTGTGATGGAGTGGAGCCAGTAGTTTGAAAACGCTTAAAAATTCAGAACACCAAGATGTGTGAATCTTGGGGATGTGTCGTGACCAGTCTTCTCCTATGTCTCCTTGGTCTCCATCTGACCAATTGCATTCAGCTGTAAAGCCCGGCCAGGTTAGAAACTGCTGTCTGGTGTCTCAAAGGCATTGCCTTCTTAATAAAAATGATTCCATACTGTAGATTTTTTTTCCTTAAATTTGAACCAGGATTGACATTCAACAGGTTAAATCACCTCACTTCTGCCCAATCATCTCTCTCATTATTGATGACATTTAGCTAGAGCTTATTTAGTCATGAATGATGAAGTAAATAAAATAATAAATCATATTAAAAAAAGCAGTATACTTTCTTTCCAAAACCATGCATAACTACCAGAGTATGTTTCTACTGATGCTCAGTATATATTGATCGATAACTTGGTACCTGGAGCAGCAGAGAACAAGTTCATTTGTACATGAAAGCTGACAGCTTGTGTATCTGAAAGCTGCTTCTGAGACTCAATACAGTCAATAGTGATTACAGGGCAATTTTCTTTGAGGAGGAGGAAAAAAAAATAAATGGGTTTTGTTCGGCGATTTCAGGGAGGAATGAGGTTGATTTTTTTTATCTTCATGGACATTTTTCCTTCTTTTCAAACTCCTTTTTTAAATGTTTTTCATCCATTTCTGCTCTTTCCTAGTAGTGGCGGGCAGTGACGGACTGGGATTAAAAATGAATCGATTAAAAATCGACCCTGGCTGTTAAAGCTCACACATCTAAATCTGAGCTCCAGCAGTAATCCATCCATCTGCTTTCTAACTATCCAACTATTCCATTTCATGGGCGTGGGGGGGTCAGCGTCTATCCCAGCAAGCAGCTGGTACAGAGCGGGCACACTCCAGCGCGGGGTGCACACCGACACACGCACACACTCTCACACCAGGGCGGATCTTCCCAAGAACCCAATTCATCTGCCAGTATGCCTCTGGACTGCGGGAGACAGCACCTCAGGAATCGAACCCAGGACCCCAGCACTGTGTGGCAGCAATATTATCCTATGTAGGTAACAATGTGGTATATAACACTTTATTTTGCAAGGCTCAGTTTAATTTACACATCCCAACAATGTTTCTCTTAGTATTACTAGTAGTACTCCATACATCATTAAAATCTAAATGCTAAATTAATTAACAGTGGTTGAGTTTTACCTCATTTAATTACAAAGACACTACATTAAGTAACAACTAAATCAGTTTAGTTATTGGGGAGATGACCTTTTTTGTCTTAAAAAATGGTGAGCCCCTTCCTTTTTTGCTTTTTAGGTACCTTGTGTGTCCCTGTTCTAACACAAAGGGTAAGTCATGGAACAGGTAACCACCAGGACATTAGATTTAGAAAGTGACATGTTGGCTCAATTTTGCCATGTGATTTCAGGGCTTGTTTGAGCTGGTCCAAATCTATATAAGCAGGGGAGGAAAGGTACTAAGGCTCCTGAATATGGGAGGTTATGCTCACTAAGGGGGTAAATATGTATCAAGGTAGATATACGGAAGGTAAGGAAACTGTTTTAGTACGAGGGGTGCAGTGTTATTTTTTAAAATGGGATTACTTTTGCAATTTTGGTACATAGCCCACCCCCACTGGCCCTCTGTGTGTACCAATCCATGTTGCAGCATTTCCCTGAACAGCACAATGACCTGTATCTGCTGCAACTGCTACTGTTCTTAACATATTAAAGTTAGCATAGTCATCACAGTTTAGCACTGTAATGCTACTGAACTGAAGGAACAAGAGAAAATCTGTTTCCGCAAACAAAAAGTTGCAAATGTGATGCTTTGCATAATACATGACTTTAATGCAGATTCTTTGAATCATTAGAGGAAACCCACTAAAGGGTATCTTAATCATGTCCACACCGAAACTCATTCTGCTAAATAAAGCTGCAGATGCTCAGATAACTTCAGCCGTTGTCTTTCTCAGTGGCAAGCACTAACTCCTGTAACAAGTGTTTACTGTAGAGTTCAAATCAAACCCACGATCTGCGGTCTGCCTGTCTCTTGTGGGCGAGATATGGCTGGTACAGTCCTTCGATTCCATCGCCATCCCGCAATGATATTATCCAAGAAGACACGCGCTACTGTGCTGAAGGGCTGAGGAGCATTCAGACAGACGGGCGATCCATCTAAAGGCCAGACCAGGAGCACTCAGTCTTAATAAGAAACTACAAGGGCTGACTGTATGGCCTCACTGGCGGAGCAGCCTGTGTCAAGAGGAGCGAGAGAGAGAGGATCACAGAGTGAGGGAGGAGAGGCCAGCAGCTGCGCTGATCCCTGACGTTACACTCCACTATGTGGATTTTAATTGAGCGCTTCGAAATTTCGGCTGACGGGAGCTCACTGGAGGGCACAGGCAGACTCTTCCGGAGGTGCTGAACGGAAAATGTAAAAGACATGCAAAGAAGGTGAATTTGGGGATGGGGGGGGGGGGATGGTATTTATAGAGGCCTAATCTGGACACTGGAGGAGTGTCAATCATCTGCCAGTCCCTGTTATGTCAGCACTGGCTCGCTATGCAACCCACTGGCAACTGTCCTGCCTCATGCCCGCGCCGCGTGTGCTGACGAGCAGCCCTTGTCGAAAGTCAAAGAGCTCCGGAAAAAGACTCCAAGAGGATCGACGAGGATGGAAACGGGCTCCGGACAAAGCTGGGTGGAAAGAGAGAGAAACAGCTCTGGAAAGACCTTTTCGGCAGTGAAAGAGAAAAGGGGAGGCAGGAATTAAGGCAGGCAAAAGAACGCCGGCAGGGACTTCGTCTGATTGTTAGTTCAAGAACAAGCATAACTGAAACCTATGGCAAGCCCCCCCACTCTCGAGACTGCAGAGACTGGGGTCCTTTAGCCTGTCTACATACAACGCCATCTTCAGAACAGGAATGATTCTGCTCCCTCTGCTCCAGGCAGCTTTCTTTCTGTAACTCGATAGCTAGGATTAGCCAGCAGCTACATCGCCCTGCAGCTCCCAGCTGGCAGCCCCACTGGAGCTCAGCAGGTGTGAGCCTGGCCAGAACCTGGATGGGAGACCTCCTGGGAAAGCTAAGGTTGCTGCTGGAAGAGGTATTAGTGGGACCAGTAGGGGGGCGCTCACCCTGCGGTCTGTGTGGGTCCTCATGCCCCCATATAGTGACAGGGACACTAAAACTGAGGCCCTGACTCTCTGTGGTCATTAAAAAGCTCAGGGTGTTTCTCGAAAAGAGTAGGAGTGTTACCCCAGTGTCCTGCCCAAATTTCTCCCTGGTCTTAACCCATCATGGCCTCCTAATAATCCCCATTTATAAATTGGCTTCGTTACTCTGTTCTACTGGAAGCTGGTGTGTGGGGAGTGTTCTGGCGCACTATGGCTGCCGTCACATCATCCAGGTGGGGCTGCACATTGGTGGTGATGGTGGAGGGGATCCCCATTACCTCTAAAGCGCTTTGAGTGGAGTGTCCAGAAAAGCGCTATATAAGTGTGAGGAGTTATTATTTCTGAACGAGGCCTTGCCGATATACCAGCGGGGCTTTAGACCTGTGCTCAACCCTCCCTCTCTGACCAGGCAAGGTGCATCCCTGCAGACGCAAGAGAGACATCTGCCTCTCCGCTCCGCACGCAGGAATTAATTGAACAGCAACCCCTCCCTTGCTCCCCTGTCGTGTCTCAGGGAAGCAGCCATGCCTCATTAGGCAGCAGTTACCACACTGCCTCAGGTCCTTGAAGGCCAGTCCTGCAGGTGTTCTGGGCACCTCTGAATCATCAGATGCTTAACTCTGGCAACGCTATTAAAATCAGTCCAATTAAGCAGGTGCTTAGCTCAATGGCTTAGGAGAAATGAAGAGGAGGCTGCAGTGTCTGTGTCCTGGCACTGGGAGTAAATGGCAGGAGCTAACGGTTTTCCGATCGCTCCTGTTAATATCCTTCCCGACTGCTCTCATCTGTTGGGAGGGTGTAGTCTTAGCAGAGCTCTACAACGAGTGCGCAAAAAGGTTACAGACAAGAAAAGGCCCTCTGATCCATCATGTTCATGCCTTCCAGTTGTGTTCTCAGTGAGTCTCGTTAATCTCCACCAACCATTAATACCTCTTGGGATTTTCACTACTTGTATCAGACACCTCCATTTTCAATTCCGCCCAAGGCTAAAGATATGTTTACCCTCTTGGTGCATGATGTTTATTTCAGACACGGAATTGAGCTGGTTGCTCTCATTCCAGGGCAGTGATTTCCTGTTATATGGTCTGTGTTACTGGGACGACCCCCCCA